CTAACAAATGTACACCATATTCTAAGTGTTAGAAGGAATGTGATCTCTATGGGAGCATTGGATTCCAAAGGTTGCTGGTGTGAAGTGAAAAATGGATTGATGAAGATTAGAAGAGGGCCACGTGTCATGCTTTTGGGAAGGAAGGTCAACAATTTCTATTCTGTTGGGAAATACTGTGCTAGGTGGAACAATTGCAAAGACGGAATGGAAGCTTGTTTCGAGGTCTACTAGAATAAAGAATCAAGAAAAACAAGAGAAGGAAGAAGTTTTGACAATTGCAAGAGTACCTGCTTTTATTTCAAAAGCAAGGAGTTCAATTTGGTGATGCGAAAGTAGATTCCAAGTTTAATTATTTGAGCTTAGAATTTGTTAAGAATAAATGAGTATAGTGGTGCGGCGAAGAACGATAAGAAGAAGAGTGATGAATTTGAGAAATGGTGAAGATTGTTAAATGTTTCTCAATTCATTATTGTGATTTATTTGAGGTGGAGAAATCTTTGTTTAATGTGGAGTGATCTTCATTCGAGGTGGAGCTGTAGAGGATCGTGTGAAGACCGATTTCAAGCCAAGGTGGAGATTGTTAGGTTTGTGGCTCAAAATTGTCTACAGAAATTAATTTCCTTTTCCATTTTAGAATATTGAAATTAATTTCTTTTTTTCCCGTTTTGGAATGTTGAAATTTGTTAAGGAAATTGTGTCCCATAAAGTTCCTATTTTAGAGTTGGGATTTATATGGTAACTCCTTATAGGCATGTTGGGGAATACTTGTCCAATAAGGATTTGGGTTTGAAGACTCTATAAATAGATATGGGTATGAGAGAGAGTAAATGGCAGAGAGAAAAAGAGAGTTGAGATTGTGTGAGGAAAGAGAGAGAGAATAGTGTGTAATCAAGTTTTTGAAGTAAAGTTAGTCGTTCTTCGCCCGTGAATTAGGTAATTTGCCAAACCACGTAAATCTCGTTTTTGTTTGTGTGTGATTTTTTATCTGTTATATTTGTCAATTGTGTGTGTGAAACCCTAATACACACTCGTGCTAGACTGACTTCATTTATGTCTGAACTTATGTGGTTACATTGGATCCTTCAGGAAATGGGAGTTTCTTCATCCATTGCCACTCCTATGTATTATGATAATAGGTGTGCAATTCAAAATGCGCACAATTCTGTTTTTAGTGTGCCAAACACATTGAGATCAATTGCCATTTTGTTCGTAATCATTTTCTTCAGAAGACTTTACAGTTGTGGTCCATTACTTCTTATGATCAGATAACAAATGTTTTCACCAAATCGCTTCCGCTAAGCCATTTTAAGGATCTTATTTCCAAACTTAAGATGATTTTATATAACCCACCTTAAGTTTTGAGTTTGACGGATGCTGTTAGAATATATTGTTATCATATATAGGTTGTTAACGTGTTTAGGTTTATCATATAGAGTTTATATTTACTTATTTTTCACACATGTTGTCTCCTAAATAAATCCCTAATATTATTCACATTACATCAATACAATATACAATTTCTTTCTTTTATATTTAAACACATAGTAATAGCATCCACTAAAATAAAGTAATTTTACTTATATAAGATAATACAATTGGTTAATAAAATGATTAAATACGGACACGTAATGATAGGATTAATTAAAATAAAATATTTTTACTTATGTGATAGAATATAATTGATTAATGACAAGATAACAAAGTATAAAAATGATCTCCTTCCCTATGTTCTCTAATTTTTAATTTTCAGTATCTCACCCTTTACACTATTCCTTCAATTTATATTTTATTAGATATAAGGAATCTGGATTAAATTACCACCGACTAATTAAAGCACTTTTTGTTGTTGGTGGTCGTCTTCCCATTGTTGTTTCTACTTTTAAATGGCGCCTTTTACTTTAATAAAAGTTTTACTGTCTTTTATTATTTGGCCCCCTGTTTTGAGCATTGTGATACGAATCTTAAGATTATAATCTTGTAGACAAATAATGCTCTTTAAGGTGTCGGCCAAACAACTCCTACTTTTTGATGGGACCATGTGGACCTGGTTTAGGAAACTCTCCAGCAATTCGTAATGAAAAAAAAAAAAAAAACCTTCAAATAATATCCAAAAGCAATTTATTTACTTTTACTAAGAAATTGTCGAAAAGAAAATTACCATTCACTACCACTACAGTAAAAAAAAAAAAGAAAAAAAGAACTTACCTTCTTAGAAAGTTAAATTTTCAAAAAAAATATATTTAATTTAGAACAAAATATAGTGAGCGAAAACAAGATACAAGATGTGTAAATACTTGAATGAATAAGAATGCATCCTTCTCAAATAGTAGACATTAATTAAATGTTGCTCATCAAAGATTTGGGCATGATTCACTCTTCCATTTAGCTTGCCATTAGCATTATTATGATTATTATTTTTATTATTTTTTTTAGCTTTGATTAAAGAATGGACATCTTGTGTTGTCACATTAAATGTAGTTTATGTGGTTTTTGCTTTTGTTCCACTAGTTGGCTTGTTTTCGATTTGTATGAATGGATTTGTTATTTTCTCTCCGGTTAAATCTTTAATCTATGTCAGTTTTGGTTATTCCCAACTTGATTTGATCTTTTTCATTTGATTTGATCTTGTGCGAATTTGGGTAGTTTTTTTCCAATCGAATGTGCCTTGTGGATGTAGCTTTGGAACTGTTACTTTAATGATGGTCAGGCCTTTGAGTCACTCCTGCTACTACTCTTCTCCCTTAGTGGGTTCTGTTCTTGAGCTTTGACTCATATTCTCAACAAATCTGGAGCATATTCTTAATTATTTATTATTTATTATTATTTTTGTTTTGTTTCAAAATTTGTATAATTGTATGTCTTTATTTGGCTTAGCTTTTGCCTCTGTACTGTCATTGATGGCTTCACCTTTGTGCCTTTGCAATAAAATTTTTTTTTTGATTGAGTATGGATAAGGGTGACAATTTATGCCCAAACTCATTAAGGACTAGGATCCTCAGCTGTAAATGGGTCTGTTTGTACCCATGTTGATGCTGTAGTGCAGGTATATTTTCAAAAAGAATAGTTTTTGAGTGAGACAAAAAAAGGAATGACATTACGGTAAAAATATTATCGAAGAGAGAGAGAGAGAGAGAAAACTACCAAAAAAAAAAAAAAATTCTGCTTCAACACTTCCCTCGTCACCGTCCCATAAACTAGAGATAAAGTCTATGTTTTTGTGATAGATTTTTTTTTTTTTTTTTTTTTTTTTTTTTTTTTCCCCAAATTACTCAAATTTGAGTTTGAGAAAAAAATTAAAAGACATTGAGGTAAAGATTATAGGGTCTTGAGATAAAGATGATAGGGTCTTGAGGTAAAGATTAAATGGTGTTGAGAACAAGATTAAAGCTCTTGTGATTAAAGCTCTTGTGAACAAGATTAAAAGGTGTTACAGTAATATTGAATCTATCGAGAAAAATATTAAAGGGTGTTGAAAAAAAGATTAAAGGTGTTGAGAAAAAGAATGAAGGAGTTGAAAACAAGATCAAAAGTGTTGAGAAAAAGAATAAAGGAGTTGAAAATAAGATTAAATGTGTTGAGAAAAAGATTAAAGGTGTTAAAAATAAGATTAAATGTATTGAGAACAAGATTTAAAGGTATTAAGAAAAAAATTATATTGAGAAAATTATTAAATCATGTTGAGAAAACTATTAAATTAGGTTGAGATAAAGATTAAATTTTTTTCTCAATATCTTTAATTTTTTTCTTAACACCTTTTAATCTTTTACATTTATTAAAGTGTTTATTTATTTATTTATTTATTTTTTTTTGGGTGGTGGTCTTCTAATTATTGTTTATACTTTTAAATGGAGCCTTTACTGTCTTTTTATTAGCTGGCCCCTGTTTTGAGCATTGTGATAAGAATCTTAAGATTTTATAATAATCTTACAGACCAATCCTCATACTTTTTTATGGGACCATGTGCTTTAGGAAACTCTTCAACAGCTCGTAATGATCTGAACCAAAAAAAAAAAAAAAAAAAAAAAAAAAATAAAGAAAAAAAAAAGGGAGCAATTTATTAAGTCCAAAAGCAATTTATTTACTTTTACTAAGAAATTGTCCAAAAGAAAGTTATCATTCACTACCATTTAGTAAAAAAAAAAATACTAAAATTTACTCTCTAAAAAATTTAGATTTTCAAAAAAAAATATTTAATTTGGAACAAAAAAGGCTGAGCTAAAACAAGATGAGTATATTTTGTAAAATAAAATGAGTTTCACTGATAGAAAAATTATCCACCTCAATAATTTAGGTTATTGTATCAAGTCAAAAGAGATTTCGTATGTATGTGAAAGTAAGGTAAAATATTTTCACACCTTTATCCTAGCCAAAACATATGGGCAAGATTATTATTTTCACACCTTTATTTTATATCATGCCAAGCTACAAATAAATTATTGCACTGATATATATATATCTTATATCATATATTTCGTTATAAAAAATAATAATTGTATCAATTTGTTATAATAAATTAACAAATACTTACTTATATTGTGCATAAATAATTAATCAAGAGGTAGTTACGAGCCTACGACTTGGGTGTATCACTACTCTTAGGGTACTTATTTTCATGTATTGTAATGGGTACTTATTTTACTATATACATATAAAATGGGGGCAAAATTTAAATATTATTGTAATTGAGTACTCGAGTGTATTTTGTAAAGTAAAGTAAAATGGGGTCTACCAGTAAAAGTAGAATGGGGTTCACTAGTAGAAAAATGATCAACGTCAATAATTCAAGTCATTGTATCAAGTCACCAGAGAATTCGTGTGTGTTTTGAAGGCATTCTGTAGGCCAAAACATCAGGTACAATTTTTTCTGAGAGAAATTACGATCAGAAGCAAATCGTTTCTGTTGTAGCAGCGAGGGAGACAAGACTCGGATTAGTGTTTGTGGCAAAAATATCAGGTACAATTTTTTCTTTCTTTTATAAAGAAGTTGATATATATATATATATATATATATATATTATGCTCAACAAAATAAGTATATCTTTTTGCAGAGATTTTTCAAAACTGACATGAAAATCTTTGAGTTTTTCTTATCTTTTGATGTGACAAAGAAGAATAGTTTTTTCTTAGGTTATGATGTGGATCCCATATACTTCAATATGTATATGTAACAACATCAAAAGGACAGAATTTTTATATATATATATGATAGCATAATGTATAATAGACCTTTAAATTAATGTACAAATGAGAGAGAGGATAAATAGTAAAAGATGAGTGAAATGGGTTCTGATTATATATACGGGTGTCATCTTAAGTTTGAATTTTGATGACATTAAGGTTGACCATGTCGATTTGCTGCAAAAAGATGTAAATTGAAAGGGATGCAATGGGAGGTAAGTGTTATTTATTGTTATGCCATTCATGGACTGCAGGTTAAGATTGTTAGTTTTTGCTCTTATATCACTTTCTGACTTTACTCTGATACCACTTTGTTAGAAATAGTGGTCTAGATACACACACAACACTATAATATTTGGAAGAAAATGATATGGAGGAATACTTGGAAAATTATTTTTATTCCACTTCTAATTCATATTTTAAAATGACTAAAGTACATGATTATATAGGCCTCACATATGTATGCATAACCATTACATTTAAAGGCCTAATTACACCCATTATTCCCACTAACATAACCATTAGTAGCATAACTCCCACTAACATAATATTTAGAAGACTTAATTCCCATATCTCTTAGTCTTATATAACCTTCTCCATCAAGACCATTTACTACCCTACTAACATGAAATGCACACATGTATCATGTATACCAAATACTTGAAAATACTAATTACAACTAAAATTCTAAAATCAAGTTTATTTTCAACACCCCCCTTTAAACTTGATTTTGTAACTTAAAAGTAAACTTCTTATTGATCTTGGGGGCTAGATCAATAATTTGTTACTTTGTCTTGATTTCCACCTCGTTTAATTGCAACAATCTTCTTAGCCATTTCCATTGATGTATATGGCTTGTGAAAAATCTTCAAATGCTTGTTTGATGTCTTCACATAATCATATATCATCCTCTTTATATAAACGCACCATCTATCTTTTTTCTTCTTGAATCTTTTATGACTCTTCAACTTCACATATGCTTTTTCTTTAGAGTCAAAAAATAACTCCATATTCACCCAATCTGTGTCAATTACAAAACTCTCCAAACCATTTTTCAAAAAATAATTTAAGAAATTATTATCATCTTGAGCTTCAATCTCATACTTCATTGGAATAACTTTCTTCAAGAAAAGTTCATCATTCTCCACAACATGAACACAATTATCATAATATTTGATTTTGCTTTTCAATTGAGATGAATATGAAGAAATCAGAATTTTATCAAATAATTTAAATATAACTTCTTTCAAGGTGGAATTTGTAACCATACCTGAAGATGTTAATGCACCAAATTCATCAACTTGTGCATCTTCTTTAACACTTTCTTCTCTTTTAACTTCATTCTCCTACACTTTTTTAATCCCTTCTTCAACACATTTCTTTACCTCTTCCTCATTCACCATTTCAAGTTGTTCTTCAAATTCTTCAACTTGATTTGTGTTGTACGCTTCTTCATTCTCCACACCTTTATCCTCAAGACTTTCATAATCAGCCTTTGTAAACTCATCATCCTCAAAGCATTGTACACAATACTCCATGGGTAGTGATTCACTTCTATGATTAGAAACGATGGTCTCGAGTATCTTCCAAACATAACTTGGAGTTTTGGACTCTCCAAAATACTCCCAAATTTCTTGGTGTATTGCTTTCTGCAACACTACCAATGCCTTTTCTTCTTTCTTGTCTCGAAGCTTGTTGGACATGCCATTCTTTGGCTTTAATCCAACAACATCCCACAAATCACATGCTTTGAGGTATGAAGTCATGATGATTCTCATTCTCCTATAATTAAATAACATCATCTTCTCACTAAGAAAATACATTTTCTCCCCTTCATCATCATCAAAGAGAAACTTGTTTTTCTCAAAGTGTTGAACCTTCTAGGATCAACTTCGTCAGGCCTTCAGGATCGTTTAGGTTCTGAACATGAAATCTGACTCTGATACCACTTTGTTGGTTTTTGCTCTGATACTACTTTCTGACTTTACTCTGATACCACTTTGTTGGAAATAGTGGCCAAGATACACACACAACACTATAATATTTGGAAGAAAATGATATGGAGGAATACTTGAAAAATTATTCTTATTCCACTTCTAATTCATATTCTAAAATGACTAAAGTACATGATTATATAGGCTTCACATATGTATGCATAACCATTACATTTAAAGGCCTAATTACACCCATTATTCCCACTAACATAACCATTAGTAGCATAACTCTCACTAACATAGTATTTAGGAGACTTAATTCCCATACCTTTTAGTCTTACATAACCTTCTCCATCAAGACCATTTACTACCCCACTAATATGAAATGCACACATACATCATGTATACCAAATACTTGAAAATACTAATTACAACTAAAATTCTAAAATCAAGTTCTTTTTCAACAAAGATTTCGTTTTCCACAAACTTTATGTGGGAGAATCATTGAATTCATATAATGTGTTTGCCAAACTTGAGTTGAGTTTCAATTATCTCGAAAGGGAGGAGGCCAAATTATTGTTCTTACTCTGTAGCTTGTTTCCAGAAGATCATAACATTTCGGTGGAAGACCTGATGAGATATGCCATGGGGCTGAAGGTGTTTGGAGATGTCAACACCATTGAAGAAGCAATATATAGCGCCCATGACGTAGTAAGTACCCTTACTGATTCTTTTATGTTGCTGGATGGTTCTGAGAAAGGGTTCGTTAAAATGCATGATGCCCTTCGCGATGTTGCAATATATATTTCGTCTAAACATGATAAGTACCAGTTCAAGGTTATGGCTGGACTGAAAAATTGGCCAGATACACAAACATTTGAAAATTATTCAGCCATCTCATTGATATCAAATGATATCAATGAGCTTCCTCGTGAGCTATCAGCCTCAAAACTCCAGACCTTGCGAATACAATGCAATTCTCACTTGCACATTCCAGATGATTTCTTCAAAGGATCCAATGATCAATTGATTTTTTTAGAAATGAGTGGTATCCATTTCTTGCCAATACTTCCACCATCACTTCAACCGCTTTCTAATACCCTTCGAACCCTTCATCTAACTTCTTGCAACTTAGAGGACATATCCATGATAGCAACACTAAAGAATCTTGAGATTCTCAGCTTTAGTGGTTCTGAAATTGGTGGAATTCCTTGCAATATTGTCGAATTGAGTCGTCTGAAACTCCTTGATTTGACCAACTGTGAAAAGCTTACAAATATAGTACCAGGCGTCATATGCAAACTTCCTAGATTAGAGGAGCTGTATTTGCCACAACGTTTTAAGTTCGACAATCTTGTTGAGCTCAATTCCTTGTCTCGATTGGCTTGCCTGAAATTTTTTATTCCAATTGATCTTTTGCATATAGATTTAACTGAGCGTGCGCGAGAGTCAACAAGTTTCAACATAACAATTGGCATTGGAAAAGTATTTGAGAGTCTTCATGTATACAACAAACCTTATCCTTATGTAAACATGAGAAGCTTGACAATTGACCATGATGGGCCAATACATCCCATAATGTTGGATTGGTTTAAGTTGCTGTTAAAGAAGACTAAGCATCTAGTTTTGGGCCACTTGAAGAATTTGAATAATATCTTCAGTGAACTAATCGAGGAGGGCTTCAATGAATTAAAGTCTCTTGAACTCGATTGCCTTGAAGGGACGGAATATCTGGTGAACACAAAGGAGTCGACACCGCAGATGGCCTTTAGCAGCTTAGAGGTTTTGTCGCTTTCTAACATGTGGAGCTTCATTGAAATATGTCCCGGACAAATCTTTTCGCAATATGCGCGAACTACATGTGTTTAAGTGTATTAACATACTTAAGCTGGTTTCATCCAGTTTGCTAGGAAGGCTAAAAAATCTTGTGAAGCTCGATGTCTATCAATGTTTTAAGCTGGTACATGTTTTTGAAGAGCATGTAGATGCAGAAGTGTCGCTCTCAAAGCTGAAAGAAATTGTTCTAGATTCTTTGTCCAATACGACACATATATGGAAGGACGGCCCCCATCAATTTATTAGCCTTTGTAACCTTGAGAAGCTGTGTGTGTATTGTTGTCCCAAGTTAAGAAAGTTACTCTCTCCAAAGCTATTACAAGGGCCTGTTCGCCTGAAATACCTTGATGTTATTGCTTGCCATAGTTTGGAAGTATTATTAGGACATGAAGAGGAGCAAGATACGGAGATGGCAGTCCCTTTTTTGAGAAGCCTCACCCGTGTAAGCGTGTATGGCAGTCCCTTTTTTGAGAAACTTGAATGTTTGAATGTATCCCAGTGCTACAAATTGCAAAATGTAATTGAGGATAAGAAAGGAAAACAAGAAGCGGCTTCAGTTGAATTTCCCTGCCTGTCCTCGATATCACTTTTTCAACTGTACAGGTTGAAGAGTTTTTGCACCGGGTATTATACTATTGAATGGCCATCTTTGGAAAGACTGGATATCCGATATTGTTCCGAGATGGAGACTTTTGGTTCTGGAGACCAAGTAACACCTCAACTGAAGAAAATAGTGAAACACGAATCTGAGGGGCAAGAGACTGTGATCACGATCAATGGTGGCGACCTTAATCACGTTGTGCAAAACCACTTCGGACCCAAGGTACGTATCATTGAGCATATATAATGGTCATCCATGGATCACTGTATAGATTATATCCAAATAATTAATTACAATGATAAAGAACAGTGGGATGGTTTTTCAGGCAACAACTTCGGAGGTAGGTCCCAGTTAGTCTTCCTCGTAAAGGCATGATCCACTTAAAGATTCTGCGATCAGGTTTGTAAGATGAATTATTATTGGCGACTATAGCAAGTCTAAAATATAAATATTCACTGATGAAAATTTTCTTCTTCCTTGTATTTGTTTGAAAAGAAGGAGCTTGGTGATGATTCCAGGAGTTTGATTTCCAACTAGCTCTTTCCGCAAGTTGCAAAAATGGAAAAATGAAAATGGTGTGCTTGTTTCAGTTCTTGGTTATCTGTGCTTCTTTCATGTATTGTAATATTTTGGTGTGTTTCATTATATTTGTGGCGGTGTGTTTTCTTGTTTAAACCAGTAATACTGTATCTGAGTGGAATATTATATATATAAATTTTTTGTTGTTGTTGATTAAATAAAGAAGCATGAAGTTTTTTTCGGTTTTGACAAATACCCTCCAGCTATTTTAATTTACCTTTTGCTTTAAAATAAGAAAATATAATAATAATAATAAGTAGAAAATGTTCGAAGTGATATAAAAAGGAATTTCAGAAGACTTTCTGTCAACATTATCATCCAACACTTAAATATCAATTCTAACATCTTAAGCAAAAATCAAGCGAGTAACTAGCAAGGAGGAACTCACAATGGGCTAACTTGGGCTATAACTCAAGTCCAATTGAAAAAAAAAAATTAATACTATTGTTCATATAAACTTATGTACTACTCTTCCTCTTCCTATCAGCCCAGCCCAATCCATAGTATTTGTATAAATAAAAAGAGTAATAAAATTTACAAAGGTCAAGCCTAAAATATGAGTAAGCTCACGAACTATAAACATGTCCAATCATAAAATAAACCATAATAAAATATAATAGGGCCCAATCCAGTAAATCAAACACATTGATAGTCTATGGAACAAGACCTAAACTCTTCGTGTGTAAGACACTAAGGCATAGATGAATGGATATCATGGATTACTATTGTTAATCCAATGAAATATTGAATTTTATTTTTGAAAAAAAAAAAAGGACTTTGTTGATGACTTGATAATTTCTTATTAAATTGAGTAATTTATTATATAATGGATTAATAACTAGTCAGGGGCGGAGCACATAGGTCTTACTTTCTAATGTGAATTTATTGATAAGGAACATATATATCTTGCATTCTTATAATTGTTTGTTTTAATACTTGTATGAAGCAAACTTTAATGAATTATTGACTGTGAAAATACGTTAGAGTTTGGAAGTATAAATGTGTTAAAATGTTGTAAATTATTGGATTTAATTGAATAACTGATGCATAATAATTATATATTTAGAGCATGAATGACATACTAAGCAATCATGGGTTTAATTATTTTTAGCCCTCCCTAGTTTGCAATCTTGGCTCTGCCCCTGCGAGTAAGGGATATATTTGATATGAATGTATAGCATATAGTCAGATACTCAAACATATAAAGCAACTCAAAGAAATATAAGCATATGCAAAAGACCGACTCACAACTTGAAATGTAAGGCATATTAATATATGGAGACCCAAAGCAATACATACCAATCAAGCTGAAGTGCATTTAAATATAAATTATAAAAGCACCTTACTATAAAAGTAATGGGCATATTGCCATTACAATATTTGTTCTATATATATATATGCAAACACAAAGAGAACAAGACTGAGAGAATTAAAGAAATCAAATGTTAAAGCTACAAAGATGTGATTATATAGATTTCACCTTCAATTCACAATTGCTGATTTAATAATTTACTTTAGCATAAATCAGAATTATTCAATATGTTCTAAAAATAAAAATTTAAAATAAACAATGTGTAAACTGTAAGAAAATTGTACATGGGCCCAAGAGTACAAGACTTGGGGAGGGAAAACTAGCCCAACCCACAAAATATAAAGCATAAATAGGCGTTAGCCGACAGAGAAAGAACAGCCCAAAAAGATAGAGGCCCAACAACTTCCATAAGGCCACACAACTGTAACTGAAATATTTCATGATTACTTCAAGAAATTTGATCAGGATTAGTCGAAACCATGGGTGTTTTACTACGATGTTGAATCTGTCAAAGGGCTGTAGCTTGCAAGTATAATGAATCTGTCTTGTTAAGAAAAAGTTCGATTAAACACGTGGGCTATGTTCGTTTCAATGTAAAATATTTTTTTAGAAAAATATATATATAATTTTAGGTAAAATATATCCCGATGAACTCGACCTAAACATTTGTCAAACATAGAGAAATAATATATATATTCATCGGGTGCGGCATCTATAATAGTTTACCGAAAAGATGAATAAGTTATTTTGTTAGATTTTAATATTTTTTTCTTTGTAAATATTTTACAACAACCAAACACCAGAAAACACAATAAATATTTTACGATCAAATAAACGGAGCCTTAGTTTAAATTCCCGATTAAAACCATGATCATAATTGTCAAACTTTGCTATATAGTAGCTCTCGTTATATAATTCTATTATGTCCCTTGCTTTGTCTGTTTGCATGGCATGAGTTGAAGCATTATACTTGCAATCTTGTTGGAATTCAACTTCTCCTTGGTCCTCCCTTGATTCTTCTTTTAGACTCTATTTTGATGTATTTTTTTACTAGTTGCAGTTCACCAATATATGTATAAATATGGCCAGTTGAATTTTACAAGTTTATGATAATTACTGTGAGAGTAATGACCGATGTCTCGACTTGCGGTGTAACGACCCACTTCACCAAATACTATAATATTGTCCGTTTTGGACCTGAGCTCGCACGATTTTACTTTTGAACTTTACCCCAAAAGGTCTCATACTAATTAGAATAACACACCTACATATAAGCACTTCACATTTCCTTTATCCAAGCGATGTGGGACTGTGCATCCGTAGCTCGCCAGTGTGGTAGCCTTACAGTGTCTCGCACCCGCCCACGGCACACCCGCCCACAAGGTAATCATAATCCACCTCCCTTGGAGGCCCGATGTCCTCGTCAACACACTTCCGACTGGGTCAGGCTCTTATACCATTTGTAATGACTCACTCCACCACATGGTATATTATTGTCCGCTTTAGGCCTGAGCCCGCACAGTTTTGCTCTTGAGTTTTACCCTAAAAGGCTCATACCAATTGGAGATGACATACTTACATATAAGCATTTCACATTCCTCTTAACAAAACTGTGCGGGCTCAGGCCCCAAAGCGGATAATATCATACCATGTGATGGAGTGGGTCGTAACAAATGGTATCTGAGCCTGACCCAGTCGAAAGTGTGTTGACGGGGACGTCGGGCCTCCAAGGGGGGTGGATTGTGTGATGACCTTGTGGGCGGTGCGAGACACTGTTAGGTTACCACACTGGCGAGTTACGGGTGCACAGTCCCACATCGCCTGGGTAAAGGAAAGGTGAAGTGCTTATATGAAGGTGTGTCATTCTAATTAGTATGAGGCCTTTTGGAGTAACGCTTAAGAGTAAAATTATGCGAACTCAAACCCAAAACGAATAATATCATACAATGTGATAGAGTGGGTCGTTACGTATCGGTATCTGACATAGTGGTGAGTCTTCTACTATAGCAGATGAATCCTCCATTAAATTCATACAAGGAATATTTGTTTGGCTCAGTGAAGCATGGTTCAAGCCAGCTTAGCCACAACCCACAAACTTGGACTTTGACAGTCCTGGTTCGTGTATCTTTAGGGCACCAAACAGTTATTATTGTTGAATTTTGGTAGTAGCAATGGTTATATAATAATAAAAAAATGTATTCGCAATCTTCTATTTACAATGCCAAATTCATCAATGTTGTTATGATTGATAGAAAGTGAACTCAAAATTACATGTTAACTCGAATAAATTAAAGAGATAAAAAGGTATATATATCGATGATTAGTTCTATACAAACACAAATTTTAAAAATATTTTCACAAAGCAAATAGTGTTCTTATTTACCTTCTGCTATTATAATATTACTCATATTTCTTTTTACCTTTTTCAAGTAAATAATTGAAAGTGGAAGTAAATTTTTTTTTTTTTTTTTTCCTGATAAAGTGGGTTTTATGTATTTATCCAAAGAAAAAGAAAAAAGAAAAAAAGAAATGGTGTTTTAGAGTCAATTTTTGTTGTCTTCTTCAATTAGTTGGACATGAACATATATTATTAGCTAGTCGCCACTAACCAACCTGTTAGTATATATTCTTCAATTATAGATTAAATATTGTTCAAATCGTTTGATTTTTGTATTTAAAAGGTTTTTATTAATAATTATAAAAAAATTATTTATTAATATAAAGAAGTAAAGGCTAAAAAGAACAGTATCAAAAGGACAATGCACACAATTTCATTCGGTATAAGACAGCTAAATTAATATGCAAATGAGAAAAATAGGATACAAATTAAAAAGGTGTCAAATATTATTAGGGTGTATCATTTTAAGTTTAAATTTTGATGACATTGTAATAATTATAACGATGACATGGTGCAATTAACGGTTACAAATACTCTATCAAAGGAAAGTGGACCTCATGTTTAGAATTTTAAAGATTTTAAAACTCCTTAGAACATCTCCAACCATTGTGTATATATATATATATTTTTTTTTGTAAATCTGATGTGTCATAATAGATTTATACAAAAATTTTGGAATATTTATTTTTAACTCTAGTGGTTGTTTTATACCTTTTGTGTAAAAATATATCCCCCAATGACAACTAACCAATGTCATGATTAGATCCCACATAATTTTTACAAACTTACTTAATACATGGTTGATTCGTTAATGAAATGAGAAAGATGGAGGAGAAAGGAAATATGCTGATGTGGATGTGTAAAATACACAATAATTTGACACATTGATGACGTGACAGTGTATCTTAAATGATTGCTGGAGAAAAAAAAAAAAAAAAAATTACACATCATACGTGGCAATGTATATTTTATACAAAAGAATATTTTAACATACTGCTGAAGATGCTGTAGACACTAAAATTTTAGTGGACTTTGGTTTTGACAAATTGACCTATTAAATATGGGCTTAATGTTTAATTAAGTTATTTAATTGGCTCAGGCTTAGTCTACTTAAATTATTTAATTAGCCCAACCCAGATGGTTAAATAAACAGATAATTATTCCTAAATAAAATATATTTGGAATAATTATTTTTAAAGAGAATTATCATAGTATAACCAGCCTGGCCCAATTATAATTTTATCCTTATCAGGAGATGACATGTGTCATCATCCTATTAATCCAATAAGCCTATAAATAGATGCCTGAAGGAAGGAGGAAAAGGGTACACAAATTCAGAATTCCAGAGAGAAATATAAAAGCTCTCATCCCCAACAACCAAACCCAAAAGTGAAGAACACCAAGCACATTAAATCGTACCGTTCTTTATCAAATTCCACGGTGATCAACAACAAGCACAGCCAAAGACGTGCCGTTCTTCATC